GCTATAAAGTTGTGTTTTGTTTTTTTGGGTACCAAGAATCGAACTCAGAACCTCATGCTTGTCAGACAGGGCCCCCGAGCTAAACCCCAGCCCTAAAGGGTGGTTGTACGTACTGAGCGTCACACGGTGAGCTGGGCTCCGCAGCCCCTCCCGCCTCTGCCTGTGTACTTGCAGAACCGCGTTAGACAGCGTTAAAGTTTTGCTTTAAGCTTAATTTTAAGAACTTGAGAAAGAAAATCTATTGTCCATTTTCTGTCACCCCAAAATATCTTCAGTTCCCTTTAATTACTAAGAGATAGTTTTATTGAATATAAAATTCGGAGTTGATCATTCGTACAGGATTTTTAAAAAAATACTGTTTAGTTTTTGATGAGAAATTTGCCATCATTCAGATTGGTTTTCCTGGTAGATAGTGGTGTTTCTTTTTTTTTCCTTTCAGTATTTTTGTCTTCAGTTTTCAGAGTGGACTGTGACCTATCTTGGCATGGACTTTTGTATGTAGTTCAAACAGTCCTTGAGTCACTATGTAGCCCAGGCTGGCCTTGAACTTGTGATTCTCCTGCCTCAGCCTCCTGAGTGCTGGCATTACAAGCGTGCACCACCATGCCCAGCTCGCTCAGCTTTTTAAGTCTGCAGCCTTAACCTTCCTGGCAGGTTTGGAGAATGTTTAGCAGATTTTTTCTTCTCAGCCCTACGCTTGTTTTCTCTCCTTCAGGACCTCAACTGCCTGGCTGTTGGATCTTCAGGTACGGCCTTTAGATGTGACCCGACGGGTCCATGTCTGGCCTGCCTGCTCTCTGCTTATGTTGTACGATTTCTGTCCTGAAAGTTCCCCCGTTCTTTCCTGTGGCCCCTGCAGTCTGCTGTTGAACTCATCCATTGGAATTACGCCATTTTTCAGTTTTAAAAGTTTTGTTCTTTATATCTGCTATTCTTCTGCTGAGAATTTATTTTTCACTTGTTCCCAGTGTGTTCATAATGACTTCTTGAAGTACTTTCTGTGGTGCTGCTTGAAAATCCTTGCCAGACAGTTCTTACATCTGGGTCACTGACATGTTGGCATCCGTTCACTGTCTTTTCTCATCCAAGTTGAGATTTCCTCAGTTCTTGGTGTGTTCTCAGAGTGACTTTGAATGAGTGTATATCTGGGGTGTTACCTCGGAAACTTGGGATCGCATTTAAATCTTCTGTCTTGGCCTTGTCTGACCCTGCCCAGGCGGGGGTGGAAGTCTGGCTCCCCACACTGACGTGGGTGGGGTGGGGTGGGGACAACTCCTTCCTCCTGGGTGCAGGTGGGAGTCCAGGTCCCCGCTTGTGCCAGCCTGGTGGGGGTGGGATGGCGCCTTGTTAGTCGTCCCCACCTGGCTTCCCCTGTGCTTCGTGTGGATGCTGTGAAGGTGAGGCACAGAGCACTCTAGACGGAAAGTTGTTTTGTTCTTTGTTTTTTTTCTTTTTTAGACAGGGCCTCCCTATGCAGTTCAGGCTGGTCTTGAACTCACTATGTATCCCGGGATGGCCGCAAACCCCCAGTGATCCTCCTGACTCAGCCTCCTGAGTGCTGAGATTACAAGCATGTGCCATCCCGTCCTGCTAAAGGGAAATTCTTAATGGGCTCACTTCCACTAGGATGACAGCTGTCCCGAGTCCCTCCTCCAGTGCTGTTGCTGCTGAGGAGGAAGCCACTGACCCAGCCTGCGGCAGGCAGTGCGGTCGGTTCTGTCCTGCTGACCCCCAGTAGCGGCGTGGCTGCATAGAGGAGACACCTCACCATTTGCCCAGGCCCGCTGCTCCGTGACAGGCTCGGCGGTGAGTTTGGTGAGTTGTGTGCACCGCTGGCCCATCGTGCGGCCCTGTGCCACCGTGAGCTTTCTAGTCCTCTTGCTGCCTGTTCCTGACAAGCGCATCCACAGATTCCTGCTGCCCTGCCTCCTCTCCAGAGCTCTAATACTGATCTTTGCCTGCGCAGCCAGCCTGCACGCAGCCTTAATCATACATCTGTCCATGTAGGTCCATCTCGCTGGAAAGATACCAGCCAGCCCAGAGCTCTGCCCACTGGGAGGCTTCTGTTTATCCGTCCTTTAGCGTCACCTCCAAGAGAAATTGCTGCAGCCATCCCTTTCTGTGAGGACCACCGTGGAGAGTCCTCCCTGCAGAGTGGGCCCACGTTACTTCCTTCTTACAGCTGGTCACGAGCACACCATGGGCACAGATGATGCCTGAGGGAGAGGGGGCAAAGCAGCAGGTGCCTGTGTTGAAGGGGTCTCATGTGCTTGTGTCTTCCCGACCTGCTCAGTCTGGTCCCTTCTGTCTTTGCTGCACAGATATAACCTCATATCTAGGCAGCTCAAATAATTCTAAATTCATGAGATGCTCGGCTCACATGGCCACTTGATGTCTCCTGGCTAAACGGTCGTTGTTCTCTAGAGGTCAGTGGAAAATCAGAATGTTTTTCAAGTGAACCTAGTAATCTGGAGCAGAGGGTATGGCCTTGCCCCCAGACCTTCCAGTTCGGTACTGTGATTCTCCTATTGGTGTGTGATGTTTGTCAGAGACATTTGTGTGTTAAATGTGCTGGGTCCTAAGGCCTAGCTGATAGAGCAGCTCTTCAACCTGGACTGGATGTAGACTTTCCATTGCTTTCGTCTTTCCTCAAAAAATTGATCATGCAAAAAGTGGGTTGAAATAACACACACAAATTTGGTATACATTGCCTTGAAATGCCAAAAGGGCTCCGCCAAGAATTTTCCTTTTTTAGGGGCAAATGAAGCAAAGTACAGCAGCATTGTTCACTTTGGAGGGGCTTTCTTTCTTTCTTTCTCTCTCTCTTTCTGTCTGTCTGTCTTGGTTTCGCTATGCAGGCTAGCCTTGAACTCACTTTGTGGCCCAGGCTGGTCTTGAATTTGCAGCAGTCCTCCTGCCATAGGCCCCGCAAGTGCTGGGATCAAAGGCGCACGCCACCATGCCCGGCTTGGAGGGGCTGTTTTAACCTGCTCCTCCCCGGTCAGATCTCTGGACGCCTCCTTGATGGGCCTTTGGATCTTCCTGGTGTCTGTCTTTTCTGTGCATGCGTTTCTAGGCTATCCAGTCTGCTAGCACCTTTCTGCCCATCAGAACCAGTGTAGTGTTGTCAGTTTGGCAGACCACTATGTTGTGGTCAGGACCTCCACCCTGTGTTAGGACAGAAAGCAGGGGGATCATGTAGCCCTGAAGCTCCTCAACATCTCCCGTTGGCTGGGCCAGGGAAAAGCATTTTAGGGTCCTTACCAATTGAAATGAGGAGGGAAAGCATTCTCCACAGCAATAGCAGCATAGCAGGTGTCAAGGATATGCTTGCTTTCTCCAGTAAGACACTACATCTCGGGCAGCTAGAGTTAGCCCCCAATCAACTTCACGGTAATCCAGTCACGTGACAGGCAAGTAGTGGAGATGTGACAGGTATTTCCACCTTGCCTCTTTCCAGCCTTTGTTATCGCGTCACTTTCTCAGTCCCCGTGATGCCCTGTTGCCTGTTGATACTGGCTTCCCCTTAGCTTCCTGGCTAAGCCAGCATGGAAGGATTCAGCCAGCTGCCACGCACATGGTATTCATTCCCGTTACATTCAGGGGCTAGGGACCTAGCCACAAGGATGGGCCTACAGATGTCCTGGGTCTGCTGTAATTCAAAACGGGACTACTGGTGGATGTGGTAGCACACACCTGTAGTCCTAGCACACAGGTGGCTGAGGCAGGAGGGTCACCTCAAGTTCCAGAGCAGCCTGGGCTACAAAGTGAGTTGAAGGCCAGCCTAAACTGCAGAGCAAGACCCTGTCTCAAAAACACACACAAAAAATCGGGCTACAATTCCGTCTCTTCATAACATATTGAAATTGGAAGCGGAAGCCACCCGGAAGTGACAGGAGAAGGAAGTCCCTTCTCACTGCCCCAGCTTACAGCCTTTTATTAGCAGAGCCTCACTGGGAGGCGCCAGCCATGCAGAGAAGACGGTGGCAGAGCAGCCTCTGCGCCCCCCGTCCAGGATGGACAGTGCCGGTGTGGCGCAGACGGGGGTAAGCGTTGCACCCGCTGATTGTTGGCGCACTTCTTGTTCCTCTATCCAAAAGTTTTGTGTGGTTTTTTAAGTAATGTTTGTTTTTGCTAACTCCGCTGCTTTTGACCAGCAGGTGTAGGCACAGGAAAAATTCTAGATGTAATTTAGTGGGAGGCCCAGGGTTTACTCCTGAGAACCACAAAAAGGAAAAAAATTACTTCAGTGAGTGACTCAGATCCAAAGGTCTCATTCCGTCTTTGAGCACAGATTCTGTCTGCAGGGCTTTGCAGTCTTCCGACCATCTTCCTGCCTGTCCCTAATTGAGAGCCTCATCTGACCCTCACCCTCCAGCTAGCTGAGTGCTCCTGGTGCGTGGCTCGGCGTCATTTACCCCAAAACCTCACTGGCCTCTGCCTCCCAGCGGCGCAGACATGATCAAGCCTGCGCTTGGCAGTGCGACGGCGGCGCCTGCCCGAGATGCCTCCTGCACCGCGGTGCTCTCCGCTGTCCTGGGTGTTCAGCTCTGCCTCCGTGATCGATCGCCGTTCCCACTTCTCCCTGCCTGATGTGCTCGCTCCCTTGCCCTTCAGTTGCCTCCCTTGCCCCAAGTGAAATTCCACAGCTTTTGTTGCTCTTGCTGTGCCGCCGGAGCTGGTCCCAGACTCATTGCGTCCGTCTCCCGAGCACCTGGGACCAAGCTGTGCGGCGCCGCGGCCAGAGTACAGTCTCAGCCTGGAAGGTGGCAGTGTAGCTGACGCAGCACAGCGTAATACTCCTGTGTTCACGTTGTGGTTATTTCTGTTCTTTGCACATCACCTCCCTTGGCTGCAAGCTCTGAGGGACGCTGAGATTTGTAAGTGTGTCTTAGGAGCTGGCCCGGCGCCTGCCCTTCGCCGCGCGCGCACAAGCTGACCCAGTCTCTTCTCATCTGTGCTCTTCCGCTTCCCTCACTGGCGCTTTTGCCTCAGCCTAGGAAAGCGTTCACATTGTTCCTGTGTTGAAAGCAAAGCTAGGGTTGGCCCTCCACCTGGAATGTCGGAAACTGCCATGAAGACAAAATGCCCAGGACAACTGAAGAGAAGCCCTTCGCTGAGAGGGAGAACATCCACCAAGGAGGACGTCCCAGAAAAAGAAGGTGTTACGGTACGGACACAGGTGTCCCCCAAAAGTCTTGCACTCACCGGGGGTCTGGGGGAGGTGACTGGTCCCGGCGCTGCGTTCTCCCGCGGTGTAGCCCTCTGAGGCATTCGCACGGAGCCTGCTGTTAGGAGAGGGGCCTGCTGGAAGACACTGGTCACTGGCGTGTGACCTGAAGGGCACGGTGCTGCCCCAGCCCCGCCCTGCTCTCCTTCCCAGCTATTCCAGTGCGCCCTTTCAGCTGGCTGAAGACTGAACCCTTCACAATAAACTGAGCCAGAGGAAACCGCCTCTAAGTGGTAGATGGCAGGTATTTTTCCCAGCAATGAGAAAGTGATTAATACAGCAGGGGGCCGGGGATCTTACAGAGGCAGTCAGACAAGAGAACCATCTGTGTCATCCCCAAGTCCTGTGGAAGTCCCGCTGAAGGAGGGAAACCAGCCTTATCGTGGTTGGTGCCAGGGCAGGGTGGTGCCAGGGTTGAGCAGACTAGCAGCTGTTTCCTGGAACACGGGCTGGGTGGGGCAGTTCAAAGCTAGTGTTGTTTTGGGGGACATAGGGCTGAAGCAAAGTTCATCATCCCCAACCCCCCCTTTTGTTCAGGATGAGTATCGTCCATCTTTGAACAGCTCCCAAGTGACCATCAACTTAGGAGGCAACAGGGGCTACGAAACAATCGTCCAGGACTGTTGCTGGTGCTGTCTTCGCAGAATCAGGAGACCCATCTAGTGAGAGGTGGTGGCAGTGGGCAGTTGTTTTAGAGTCCTGGGATCAGGCATCTTACAAGGGGATGATCAAAGTGAAGAAGAGGATATTAACATAGAAGGCTGGATTCAGGTGGAGCCAGGAATCGAACCCTGAGGGTAACCAGTTCCAAGCAGCAACGGAAGAAAACCTTTTAGTTATGCAGCCCAGCTTATTGGGCTCCGGAAGCCCCTGAACTGGGTGTCCACACTCGGTGGTGTGCACTGTTGGTTCTGCTCACATAGACGTGCGTATCTGAGCATCTCGCTGGGCCTCTTGGTGGCCCTGACAGTGGGTTTTCCTGGGAGAGGTCCAGCCCCGCATGGTCTGTGGGGATGATGGGCCCTTGAGGTCTGTGTCCATCACAGGGTTCTGCAGGTCCTGGAGAAAGGACTATGTAAGGCAGATGGAGCCCTGACGCACATCTAGATGGCCAGGTTTTAGTCTGGTGATGGTGAGTTAAGCAGGAGGTAGAAAAATTGGAAACGTTATTTGGAAGATTATAGCAGATACTGACTATAGTGGGGAGAATTGAAATTTTGTACAAGTTGACAGTTTGGGCAAGGCGACAGCATCCAATCCAGTACACACAGGTACCCAAGCTCGCTTTGCCAGAGTGAGAGGAAGGCAGTCAGACCGCCAGCAGACAAAACAGTTGTCATATGTCACCTGCAGTGTCCAAAGAGGTACGAGAGCCAGAACCTGATCACCAGGATGGACGTGCATAGTGGCCTGTCAAAACAATTTTCCTCCTCGGTCGCCTTCATCTTGATGAAAAGTAATCTCAAAGAAAGGTTACTCTTCATCAGAGAAGCGTCAGAGTAAAACAGCATATCTGTAGATGGCAAAAGACTTCAAATGACTGTGGTTCAAATACTGTGAATTATCAGAAGTGGAAGATCTGATGAGAATTCGTTACGAGACAATGCAACTGACAGAATCAGTTTTTGGGGCACACAAAAGATAAAGTCAATCGGAAGTTTCAGGCAAAATATAAAAATAATGTCTTAAAAGATGTGGGGGATGTAGGTGACAGAGAGCTTGCTTAGCACGCACAGAGGGCTCCCTGTGTTCAATCCCTAGTACTGTAAAAAGTTTTGGGGTTTTTTTAAGACTGGGATTCCATCTAATTTACAAAAAAGAAAAAGTAATCTTTTCAGGAAAAAAATATTATAAAATATAACCCCCCCAAATGTAAATAGCAGTCCTAAGACAGATCATGAGTATACCAAGTGTGCAGTTAGAACACACCTTACCTAAGCCCTGCCGTCGTGGGAACTTGGTCCCAGGAAACAGCTTCTCTGCGTGACCTGGAGACTGTTTTCTCTTCACGTATATAGATCTTTCCCTTGTCACCTGCGCAGGACTCCTTAGACGCCCCTGGTTTACCTGTGACCCTCACATCACACTCAAAACCTCGGATGTTCCATTCTGTGCCTCATGAATGCCTGGCTGAACTGCTTTGTCCTTGCTGATCAATAGGAGCAAAATAAAAATGTTTGGCTCAGCTTCTCTCCTTCTACTTATTTATTCCTTTCTGTAAAGAAAAAGTTTCCCTGGGGCTGGGGATTTAGCTCAGCGGCACAGCGCCTGCCTGGCAAGCGCGAGGTCGTGAGTTCAGTTCCCGGTACCAGAAAAACAACAACAAAGTCTCCCTTGCCTAAGCTTGGAGGTACTTGTTCTCCTCGTGGTTTTAGTGCCAGCAGTGGGCATGAAATCCAGGGCCTCAGTGTGCCAGGCAAGGGCTCCCCTTATAAGATACACCCTCCCCGCTCCGGCCCTCAAGTCTAACTGCATCTGGATCTGTTTTCTTTTTTCCCCAGATATTTTTTGATATTGGGGATCAAACCTCACATATTGTCACATAGGCGAGGAAAGGACCTCACGTATCCTAAGTGTGTGCTCTACCACTGAGTGACAGCCCCAGGTCCGGGATCTGTTGCTTTTTGTATTTTTAATTTCACACCAAGAATGTATTAAGAACATCCAGGAAGCAATTCAGTAAATATAGATTAAACCAAAAACATGTACAGGTATTTTAATGAAACTGTAGATGAGGGGAGTGGATCCCCAATTGAAAACCACTAGTCTAGAAGATGGTAGATTCAGATTAAAAAAGTAAAGCTGCAAGCAAGTTAACGTTTCAAAGACTAATTATTACTGATGGCATTGTGCTGCTTTTGTTTAGTTTCAGGCAAAGCAGCACCAGGTCCATGGTGAGCAGAGGCCTCTCGGGACAACCAGGCCATGACGAGCTCTCCAGCAGTTTGTATCTGTGTATGTATGTGTGAAACAGCATCTTACTGTGTAGTTCAGGTTGGCCTTGAACTCACTTTGTACTCCCAGGTATTTATTTATTTATGAGGTGAATTTTTGCTAGGTAGCCCAGGCTTGCCTTGAACTCAGAGCCATCCTCCTGCCTCAGCCTCCCGAGTGCTGGGATTGCAGGTGCGGTTCATTACGCACGGCTGTCTCCAGCAGTTTCTGTAGCACAGCTTCTGGGAAGCTTGTGTCAGCACCATAAAAGCGTCTCTTCTCATCTGACAAGGCTTAGTGAATTCATTCAGTCACATATCTGAGAGACTAAATCACTTTGAGCACCTCAAATGCTTCAATTTCTCTCGGCCATGTGGAAGCCTCAAAGACAGTTCTAGGGGGCTAGGAATTTAGCTTAGCGGCACAGCGCCTGCCTGGCAAGCACAAGGTTGTGAGTTTGATTCCTGGTACCAGAAAAAAAAAAAAAGTTTTAGGTATGAAAAGTCTGTTTAGGTTTTGATTTAAACAAGGCAGAAATACCCACCCTGCCCAGAGAGTTCACTTAAGATCATGAGTTACCAGCACTAAGGAGGCTGAGGCAGGAGGACTGTTTGGAGTTCGAGGCAAGCCTAGGCTACAAACTGAGCTCAAAGCCAGCCTGAACTGCTTAGTGAGACCCTGTCTCAAAAAGACTAAATAAATAAATGAAAAGATCCTGGGTTACTGGGAAACAATACCTGGCCACCCCATTTAGCTAAAGAGAAAATGATTTAAAGTAAACATAGGAGGTAACAACTTTAGCTCTTTTATAACCAGGAAAATTATGTCATTTTAACAGAAATGGTCAAATTCTTGTTTCGTGTCTAAACTTCTTTTTGAAAATCTTGTAAAAATAAATACATCAAACATTAGCCGGCTTTGAGCGCGCAAGTACAGTTCCTTTCTGCAAACTTCCAACTCTGTCTTTGCACATCCCTTTCGGGGTGGCGAAAATGACACGACAGACCCACCTGTGTGGAAGCTAAATTTGGCCTGAGGGTGCTGCCACACTGCCGAGGCACTGCAACCTCAGTGCCCCGTAAGCTGATGAAAACCTCGCAGAGGAGTGTGCTGTTGCAGCCATGATCCCAGCCAGTCCCGGCAGCCGGGTGTCGGTGACGGAGGAGGGCTGCTGACTGCGGAGCCGGAACACCTTGCTCAGTTCCAGCCGCCTCCGCCTCGCTGCCACTTCTTTGCATAGTTACTGACCGCAGTGCTTACGGGCTTTTCTGGTTCCGGGGCCCGACTAAGTCTGGGATCATTCTTGGCTCCGCGAAACTCTTAGATTTGGCTTGTTTAAAGTTTTTCCTTTCCAGCCTGCTATGCCGGTGATAGAGGAAAAATATAACCCCAACCTGTGAGATGTCAGCCGTGCCGAGTTCCTGTAGCAGAGAACCAAGGGAGGGAGTTAGGAGAGTTTTATTGGCAGTAAGAAGAACAGTCCTGGATTTGCAGGAGGCTCCCGAGGGGGGCCCTCATCAGGGAACTTATACAGCAAAGTCACACACAGCATGGGTCAAACCGCCATCGACCTGTGGGGCTACGAGTATAGTTACCTGACTGACACTGACCCAGTGGGGAAACGAGACATGTAGCAAGGGTACATGGCGAAAGGAGGAGAGTATCGGTCCAGATGTTCTGGTCACCCCCCCCAACTGCATGCACCAGCCTGTATATTAATTTCTATCTAATTTAGCTGTTCTATAATAGTGGTGTACACTTGTAATCCCAGTGCTTGGGAGGCTGAAGCAGGAGGATCACTTTGAATTTGAGGAAACCCTGGGCTACAGTGTTTTAAGTTCAGCCTGGACTACCTGGTGAGACCGTCTCAAAAATTAAAACATCAAAGTTTTTCATTTCTGCCTTTCAGTATTGTATAAAGAGGTAAAAAACACATAAACTCAAAATTATCCTTGTAATTAATATTTTAGTATTTTGTCTTAGAATATCTATTGATGCAGTTTTGAGTTAGTCCGTGTTTTTGTTTATTCTGTCGTTTTGTGCTCGGGATTGAACTGAGGATGCAGCACGTGCCCTGCCACTGGAGCTGCGCCCCTCGCCAGCCAAGCTTGTGTTCCCTAAGGTACTGGGACTATTTGCAGTTGACCTGCTGAGAACAAAATTACTGTAAATATAGTTTGTCAGAGTAGTGATTCAAATTAGTCAAATTTACATTTTTCACAACTTTAAACATTGAGTAGAGGCGATGTGTCGGGGACCACGACTTGTAAATAGTATCTGTCCTAGGTGCCCTGCCTGCCTCACGGGCTGGTTTTGGAATGCGGAAGTCGCCTTCCTCTCCTTCCCTGAGATTAGCACCGGGTGTGGGGGTGCGTCTTGGCTGTTCCCTTTATGATGTTAAGCTTGCCCTTTCTACCACTGCCTTTGTGCTGTTCCAGGGCAGGCACCCTACCCCTCCCCTGCACTGGCTGATAAAACGGTGTTCACGGGAGATTCAGGGCCTTTCGTTCCTGGGGAGCAACTCGTGGTCCCCATCCCGCTGTGCCCTTCTACTTTGTCTCTAGCTCTCTTTCCTTTCCTGCCGTGAGCCTTAATCCAGGCAGGAGATTGGGAGCCACTGCAGGGGTCTCCAGCAACTGGCAGCGCAGGAAGGCTCCGCGTAGTGATGCTAGCTCGCTTGCTCGGTAAACCTGGGTAGACCTAGGAAGAGCACGCCCAAGTAGAAGATGTAACCTAGTTTAACCCTTAAGACACAGAAAGGAGTAGTTGTTTTATTAAAACATTAGTAAGTTAGGCTTATTTGCAAAAGAAGTGTATAAATTATGTGATCTCAAACTCTTTTTAAGACATTTGTTGGGGCTGGGGATTTAGCTCAGCGGCAAAGCGCCTGCCTGGCAAGCGCAAGGTCGTGAGTTTGGTTCCCGGTACTGGAGAAAAGCCAAAAAAAAAAAAAAAGACATTTGTTAAACTGGGCAGCGTAGCACATGCCTGTAGTCCCAGCTACATGGGACGTTGAGGCAGGGGGATTGAAAATTTGAGGGCAACCCGGGTAATTTAGCAAGACTGTGTGTCAGAATAAAAGTAAGAGGCTGGGATGCTCGCGGGTAGAGCTTGCCTGGCATCCATGAGGCCCTGAGTTCAACCTCCACCACCACACAAAACTAGTAACAAATAATTGTTCCTTTGTGTGAGAACATTTATTTTCACATCTTTTATGTTACTGGTTTGCCAGGCATGTGGCGCACACCTGCGACCCTAGCACCGGCGCTGAGGCCGGGGATCACTGCGAGTTCAAGGCCAGCTTGGGCTTCGGGGTGAAACCCTGTCTCAAAACAGACACCGAAACAAAACAAAAAGCCCCTCAGGCCTGCAACATTTCATATCAGTGAGGTTTTCTCTGCCCAGCAGGTGCAAATTGCTGATTGATTTGGGCTGAGAAGAGAGAATCAGAAAAGAGCAGTGAGTTAGGTGCTCGTCTTGCCCCACTGGGACGTAACCCGTGTCAACTGTTGGGCCCACTGGGTCACCTGCCTCCTCGGGACTCCTTGCTGGGCTGTGTGTCACATCTGATTGGTGGCTCCTGGGTCACACGGCCGTTCAGTGGCAGTTTGGGACTGATCTAAATCGCTTGTGCCTGGAAAGGCGGATCGTGGTGTAGAAGAAGGCCAAGCGGAGGGCTCCTGGTGGCCGGCAGGGCGTTGGGTGCCCCCCGGCACTGGCTTCTGCAGCACTGCACCCACCTCGCCGCCTGCCTGCCGAGGGAAGCCACTCTCCAGGGAGGACAGGCAGCTCCGGACCTCTCGCCCAGCCTGCCTGGCCCTCCTTTCCCTCACTGGGGTCCACGTCCGCTTGTCCCCGGGTCTGCACAGGCACAGGTGTGCGCTGCAGCCCTCGCGCCCGCACACACGGCCGCCTTTTCCCGTGGGAAGGGTGGCCGGCTCTGCTTGCTGTCCCACTTCTTGACCTAGGGCCCAGCACTGCGCTTTCTGAAAACTCAAGGTCTCCACCCAGCAGGCCTTCCTGCCCTTCTACAAGTTACAGAGCCCTTCCCGTACCTGCGAGCTGGAGCCCTGGGCCTGGGGCCTTGACTTCTAGAATGTCCCTGGCAAAAGCTCGGCATCCTGGTGCAGCCACAGGGGTGGCCAGGCAGGCCGGTCAGGCAGCCCTGCTCAGCACATGGCCGGGGGCCAGGGACGTGGCTCAGCTTGTGTCCGTTGCTGTGCTCTGCTGCCTGGAACCGTGACGCGTGCCCTTGA